AGGTTTTTGCGGGGTGGGTGGGCCTGGAGAACTTATGCCGCATGCCGAGAGGCTCCAGGAGGTTGGCGGTGTCCTCAGAACCTTTGCCCAGGGGTCCAGGAAGCTGGCGGTGTTAGGCGCGGTATCAGGCGAGGTGGGGGCGCGGTGGGTGCGCGGTGGGAGCGCGGTGGGGGCGTGGTGTGTGGGGGGCGCTGGCGAGGTTGCGCAAGGTGGGTGAACCTTAAGAACCGAGGCCGAGCAGCTCCAGGAGGCTGGCGGTGTCTTGCGCGGTATCAGGCGCGGTGGGGGCGCGGTGGGAGTGCGGTGGGGGCGCGGTGGGGCGCGGTGGGGGAGCCGCCGACGAGGTGTTTCCAGAGTGGGAACCTATGCCCAGAGGCTCCAGGAGGCTGGCTGGCGGTGTCAGGCGCGGTGTCAGGCGCGGTGGGGGCGCGGTGGTGGCGCGGTGGGGGCGTGGTGGGGGGGGTGCGGGCGAGGTTTTTTTTGCGGGTTGGGTGGGCCTTAGAACTCGTGACCAGAGGCTGCAGGAAGCTGGCGGGCGGTGTCAGGCGCTGTGTCAGACGCGGTGGCGGCGCGGTGGGGGCGCGGTGGGGGCGCGGTGGTGGCGTGGTGGTGGGGGGTGCCGGCGAGGTTTTTGTGGGTTGGGTGGGCCTTAGAAGCCAATGCCGAAAGGCTCCAGGAGGCTGGCGGTATCAGGCGCGGTGTGAGGCGCGGTGGGGGCGCGGTGGGGGCGCGGTGGGAGCGCGGTGGGGGCGTGGTGTGGGGGGGCGCCGGCGAGGTTTTGGCTGGGGGGTGGTCCCTAAGAACCGAAGCGCAGAAGCTCCAGAAGGCTGGCGGTGCTCGGTGCGGTGTCAGGCGCGGTGGGGGTGCGGTGGGGGCGCGGTGGGGGCGCGGTGGGGGAGCCGCCAGCGAGGTTTTTGCAGGGAGCTGGCGGTGTCAGGCGTGGTGTCAGACGCGGTGGCGGCGCGTTGGGGGCGCGGTGGAAGCGCGGTGGGGGCGTGGTGGTGGGGGGGTGCCGGCGAGGTTTTTGCAGGGTGTGTGGGCCTTCAGAACCTATGCCGAAAGGCTCCAGGAGGCTGGCGGTGTCCACAGAACCTATGCTCAGGGGTCCAGGAAGCTGGCGGTGCTAGGCGCGGTATCAGGCGCGGTGGGAGCGCGGTGGGGGCGCGGTGGGATCGCGGTGGGTGCGTGGTGGGGGTGGTGCCAGCGAGGTTTTTGCAGGGTGGGTGGGCTGTAAGAACGTATGCCCAGAGGTTCCAGGTGGCTGGCGGTATGAGGCGCGGTGTCAGGCGCGGCGCGGGCGCGGTGGGGGCGCGGCGGGGGCGTGGCGGGGGGGGGGCGCCGGCGAGATTTTTGCCGGGTGGGTGTGCCTTGGACACCCATGCCGAGAGGCTCCAGGAGGCTAGCGGTGTCAGGCGCGGTGTGAGGCGCGGTGTGAACTCAGCGGGGGCGCGGCGGGGGCGCGATGGGGGCTTGGTGGGGAGGGGTGCCGGCGAGGTTTTTGCAGGGTGGGTGGGCCTTGGGAGCTTATGCCCGAAGGCTCCAAGAAGCTGGCGGTGTCAGGCGCGGTGTCAGGCGCGGCAGGAGCGCGGTGGGGGCGCGGGGGGAGCGCGGTGGGGGCGCAAGGGGGGCGCTCACGGGGCCTTCGTACAGCATATTGTCTGGAATCGTCTCTGTTCGGCCCACGCTCTTGACTTAATTAAGTGAGGTGTTTGTTCCCCATGTTCGAGCAATGTGTGGGTAACTCTGGTCGTTGTATGTGTGCGTGCGCATCTGCACGCAGCTGTGACATTGTCAAGGTCTGGGAATCGCTGGGATCTAAGCGCGCGCGAAGAGCGCGCGTGTGGTTCTAGTTTCTAGTAGATCTATGGTTTACATCGGCCCTGGGCGCTCCCACCGCCCGAGTGGGCCCAAGATCGCTCCCTAGACGGTCCCACGGAACACCGGAACGAGTACGGCCCCAAGACGGCTTACGAGGCCTCTCCAGGCGCCCCCAAAGGCCCCCAAGTGGACCCCCGAGAGGGCTCGAGGAGGCAAAAAACATTGATTTTCGTAGAGTTTTTGGACAATGTTTGGGTTCCGCCTTTTCGGGCAAAGAGCGGCCCACGACGGCTCCGACGGCCTGCCAGATCGCAACAAGCCGGCCCAAGATGCCCTCAAATCGCTTGTAGACGGCCCAAGAGGGTGCGTAGACGGCCCCAGAGGGCCCCGAGACCGCCCAAGAGGGTCCCAACACGGCCCGAGGGCCCCACGAGGCCCCCAAGGGGGCTTCCAGTAGAGCCCCAAGATGGCCGAAGCCGGGCATGACAGCCCAGAAGGGCCCCAGAAGGCTGGAGAATGGTTCAAAACGGCCTCAAGAGGACCCCCACGAAGGCCCAGAGAGGCCAAACACGCGTATCTCCGAGGCCTCCAGGAGGATTGCCGGAGGCCTCCAAGTACACATGCCTGGGTGTTCGGATGAGCTGTTCGGGTGTTGGTGTTTTGGAGTTCTGGTGTTCAGGTTTGGGTGTTAGGACTCGGGTGTGCAGGTCAAGGTGCTCGGGTTGGGGTGTTCGGGCTTTCTTGATTGAGTTCGGGTTGGGATGTCACGTTAACGTGTATGCCACCGTGTTGGGGTTCTGGCGTTCAGGTTGGGATGTTCGGCCCCACGAGAGTCCCAGGATGCCCCACCAAGAGGGCTCCTCATGCCAATATTGATAGATTTTCGTATAACCCAGGACGAAAGTGGCTCCTCAGAAGGCCCCCAGATTGCCCAAAAGGCTCCGCAAGACGCCTCAAAATGGCCCAAAGAAGGACAAACCGAATTGACATGTCGAGCCCTCCCCTCCAAAATGGTCCTGGACACTGAGAAGCCCCCAAGAGGCCCCCAAGTGCCCTCAAAGCTCCCAACACGCTCTCAAGAGCCCCCTTCGGAAGCCCCACAAGCTCTACCACCCCTGTGAGCTTGATGTGCCATATGACGCTGTATTCCGATCGGTCTCGTGAACCTCACAGCCCCTACGAACCCCATGATAGCCCTACGACACCTACGAACCCTATGAACCATACGAGCCCCATGAGTCCTATGAGGCCTATGAGCCCTACGCGCCCCCTCCAAGAGGCCCCCGAGACCCTCACCTGTGAGCCCTATCAGCCCCATCAGCCCTTCGAGCCCATGCGCCCAATGAACTCCCGAGCACTACGACACCTATGAGCCTGACGACCCTTACGAGCCCCTCGAGCCCTACGACTCCTACGACCCATCTCAGCGCTACGAGCCCTCTGAGCTCCATCAGCCCCATCTGCCCTATGAGCCCTACGACCTCTGTGCACCACATAAGCTCACGAGCCCAATGCGCCCCATGACCCCATACTTCTCACGACCTCGTGCGCCTTCCATTTCCCTACGAGCCCCATGATCCGAATGAACTCATGTGCCCTTCGAGCCCTCCGAGCCCTATCACCCCTACGAACCCTCTAAGTCGCATGAGCCCTTTGTGCCCTCCAAGAGGCCCCCCAGACACCTCCCATAGGAGCTCACTAGCGACCTTGCTCCCAAGCGTCCAGTGGACGCGGCACCATCAGCCCACATGAGCTCGATGGGCCCGTCGAGCCCTGCGAGCACATCGACGTCCTCAGTGCCGCGAGCCCCGTGGCCCGCCCCTACGAGCCTGAATTGCCACTATGAGCCCCATGAGCCCTATGGCCCCGATGAGCTCTATGAGCCCTGAGCGCCCTATAGCCCCTTCGAATGCCATAAGCTTTACGACCCCTATGAGCCGTGCGAGCCGCATGACCCCGATGGGCCCTATGCGCCCTTTGAGCTTTATGGCCCCTCTAAGCCCTATGCCGCCTTTGAGCCTATAACCTTATGAGTCCTCTGAGCCATGTGCGCCCGACGAGCCTCATGAGCCCCACGAGCCCAGTGAGCTCTGTAAGTCCTATGTCGCCCATGAGCCTCATAAGCCTGCGGGCGCTTTTAGCTCTATCAGCCCCACGGGCCCCACGAGCCGCATGGCCCCAAGGAGCCTCTTTGACCACATGAGCCGTATGAGCCCCATGGGCCATAAGAGCCCTATGACCCCCGCGACCCGTCATGAACCCAGTGAGCCTTATGAGCACGGTAGGCACAATGACCACTATGACTCCCAATGAGCCTCACAAGCTCGATAAGCCCGCCCGCTATGGGGCCCAAGAGCCCATGGCTTCTGTTTGGCCAAGGTTCTTACTAGCCCTAGAACCCTGATGAGCTCATCAGCCCGAGGAACTGCGTGGTCCCCATGAATCGCGCTGGCTGAATTACCAGTTTTCCCAAGGCTTCGAGCCTCTGAGCCCCAACGGCGGCGGAGATGCCTTCGAGCCCCTTGACCCGGTAGAGCCCATGGGTCTTGTCAGCCTCGCGTGACCCATGGACCTTACAGTCGAAGCGCATCGCGGTACTGCGTGTTCTGGTCGCGGTGGGCCTCTTTGGCGCCATGCGATCAGGATTTTTAAGGCGAAGCTAAGCGAGATGTGAATATCCTACAGCTACAGGCATGTAAGTACATCTCTGATGTGTTATCGCCTCACCTTGCTGCTACGCCAGTTGCGTGTGGGTAACTGAGTGTGCCAGTATCTTCTTCGTTCCCCACGCGGCTTCTTGGCTGGCCGAATCGTGCGAACATTTCTTGTGTTTCGCTTAAGGTAGCTCGACTTGTTTTTGCTTGCAGGAGTAGGAGCTCGCCGCAGCTTTTAGCTTGGCTGGAGTGCAGCGTCGTGGGTAGTCATGCATGCTCGCCTTCCGTAGTCGCGTCTTTCGTATTCGTGCTCAGGCGGCTCAATGCGTTTGTTGTTCAGTAGGGGTTTGTGTCTTCGATAGTGCGGCTGCGGGTTGTTGCTCGGCTACGGTCCTCGGCGATCGCCTTTCGTATTCACGTGGTGCGGTGCTTGTGCTTGCGCGGTGCACTTCGGTTGAAGAGTGGGCGTGATGCGCTTGGCGGTGCTGGGGCGATCGGCACGATGCGCTGGAGTGGAACATGTTTGAGGGTCGCCCACGTGTTCCCCCAAGAGCCTGGTATAATCACCACCATCGTCATGAGCATCGTCATTCTCCTCGCCATCGTCGTCATCACCGCTATCACGACTCGGAGGTCAAGCGGAAATCCAAGGACTCCGAGGATGACTCCGAGGCCCAGACGAGTAGCACCAGGGCTTCGCCCGACCCGGACGCAGCAGTGACTGCGGCGAAGAAGGTCAAGGGTGGCATCAAAAAGGTTTTCTCACCATGAGACTATTGTTTCGTGTTCCCAACCATATTGTGGTGTTGGGTCCTCGTTTTGAAGAGACAGCGCCCCGCGTTCCCCACTCCTCACTCCTCCCCCTCCTCTCTCCTCCCATCGGCCTCTGCCCTCCGCATGTCTCTGTTTAGTCACACCCCTCAAACGCTTCGTGGCTCCATAGGGAGCTCCACCGAAGGCCCCAGTGGCAAAGTTGGCATGGCGGCGCCGCCCCATTTTGACGCATCTACGGGGCTCCACCGAAGGTCCGAATGGCAAAGTTCACATGGCGGCGCCGCCCTATTCTGGTGCATCCCTCACACGTTTCGTGGCCCCGTAGGGAGCTCAGCCAAAGGCCCCAGTAGCAAAGTTGGCATGGTGGCGCCGCCCCACGTTGGCGCATCCCTCACTCGGTTCGAGGCCCCACGGGGAACTGCATAAACCCCAGTGGCAAAGTTGGCATGCCACCGCCGCCCCATTGTGGCGCACCACTCGCAGGGCTCGTGGCCCCATATGGAGCTCCACCGAAAGCGGTGCCACAACGCGGTGTTCATTTGCAGATGGTCGGGCCCCTCGCCAGGATATTTTTTTTACCAGCTCGGTCGGCCTGCCGTGGTCTCGTCTCTGTCGGGCGCAGCAGTCTTCTCCCCAGTCCTCCCGTGTTGGGGCCTGGTGTTGAGCAGAGCACTTGTTGCTCCTCTCCTCCTTGTCTCCCTTCCTGCCGCTGCCCGCCCAGCTTCGCCGCGGGCGGGCCCGAACGAGACCTCGCCTCCCTTGGGTGCTGCCGGGCGCGCAACCGTCGCCGATCTGCGGCGTTCCTGAGAGATCCAGCGGAATGGAATTACTGTTCTTCCTCCTCCTCCTCCTCCTCCTCCTCCTCCTCCTCCTCCTCCATCTCTTCCTCCCCCTCCCCCTCCTCCTCCTCCTCCTCCGCCTCCTCCTCCTCCTCCTCCTCCTCCTCCCTCCTCCTCCTCTCCTCCTCCTCCTCCTCCCCCTCCCCCCCTCCTCCTCCTCCTCCTCCTCCTCCTCCTCCTCCTCCTCCTCCTCCTCCTCCTCCTCCTCCTCCTCCTCCTCCCCCTCCCCCTCCTCCTCCTCCTCCTCCTCCTCCTCCTCCTCCTCCTCCTCCTTCTCTTTTTCTTCCTTCCTCCTCCTCCTCTCCCTCTTCCTCCTCCTCCTCCTCCTCCTCCTCCTCCTCCTCCTCCTCCTCCTCCTCCTCCTCCCCCTCCCCTCCTCCTCCTCCTCCTCCTCCTCCTCCTCCTCATCGTCCCTCCTTCTCCTTCTCCTCCTCCTCCTCCTCCTCTTCCTCCTCCTCCTCCTTCTGCTCCTCCTCCTCCTGCTCGGGTCGCCTACGGCCCCTGGGGAAACCGTTCAGGGGGACTGGGAGAGTGGGCATTCTGCTGGTGAGTCGTTGTTGCCATTTTTTCAGTGCCGAGCCCTCTCTTGGTACCTCTAGGGGGACGTATTTCGTGTGTTCTGATGTATACTTGGTCTTGATTGACGGGTGTCAGTTCCCGTATTGTTACACTATCACACTATCATCGTGATAGTGTGATAGTGTGACAGTACGGGAACTATGCCTATCACACCACCATCCTATCACACTACCACAAGGCCAGACACTAGGGAACCACGAGGAGTCAACTGCGTGCGATGAGTCCTGCGAACGGAGAGACGGAACGGATGGGGCGGAGGTCGGGCGGAGAGGATGGAGAGGATAGGGCGGAGGTCAGACGAACGCGAGTAGGGCCAGCTGGAGGCTGGGAGGAGACATGATAAGGGGACTGGGTGAGAAACGTAGAGGGTACAAACTCATACGAGGAAGAGGTGGGTCGAGCCCGATTCCGCCAATCCTCCCGTTCTGGCATTGGAATTTCCCACCAGAAGACGGGGGATGTTGTGGAGGCGAAGGGGGAATAGAAGGAGGTACCATAATGACGAGCGATATCCGCCGTAGTTGGAGTAATTCGGCGGCGAGCGAGGGGGGACATGTGAAGGAAAAGGCCTTCTCAGAAGGTGGCGAGGCTTCTCAGAAGCCCTCGCGCCTTTGAGAGGCTTTCCACGTCTTCGGGAAAGGCTGAGAAAACTTCTCAGAAGGCCCCGGTACTTCCGAGCCTTTCGAGAATGCCCGCCCCTTTTCACTTCCCCCGGGCTCCCCGCCCAGTAGTGGAGGTGAGAGGTGGTGAGATCATGAGCTTGGAACGGCCAATCTCGGTACTCCGATGAGTGAATCCACGACGTGTGAATCATGGCGGGCGCGTGGGGTGGGGTGGGGGGGGGAGTGCGCACGCAGAGCCCTCAAGGGGTGAGTGCGTGCCGAGCGTTTGCGCTGGGCGTGGCCCGTCCCCCCGAGCGGCCCTCGCCCCGTCCCCCCCCCCCCCCCCCCTCGGCCGCCTGCCCTTCCCTCCCCCCCCCCTCGTGCATGGTGATGGTGGCACAACTCGCTACAACGGTGCCCCCGTTTAGTTGGTAGGGGGCCACGTGCGAACCCTACCCCCTACCCCCCACGATTTCTGAGGTGGAGGGTGTGGTTCACTTCGTTTGGGAGCTCCCGAGCGAAGTGAACCCCACCCTCCCCCTCAGAAATCGCAGGGGGTAGGGGTCGGGTTCGCATGTGGCCCCCTAGTTAGCTCATCCGCCAGCGCATTTACTCTGCCTGGCCGCCGACGCGAACAGCTTGCCCTGGGCGCGCCGAGCACGTGGCTCGGGGGCCCCCGCTGGGGCCCCCCGCTGGGGCCCCTTCTTGGGGGTCCTCCCGGGGCGCCCTTTGGGCCTCCTCGGGGCCGTCTTGTCCTGGTGCTCCTCCTGGGGCCTTCGGGTGGTCCTGGGGGGTCTTTCGGCGGCGAGCGAGAGGGGGAAGGGAGCAGGGGCGGGCCTTCTCAGAGGGCTCGGAAGTCCCCTGGCCTTTGGAGAAGTTTTCTCAGCCCTTCCCGAAGACGCAGAAGACTTCTCAGAAGGCGCGAGGGCTTCTGAGAAGTCCCGCCACCTTCTGAGAAGGCCTTCTCCTTCACACTCCCCCCTTACAGCCGCCAAGTCTTGGAGCAGCGCAGGGCAGCTTCAGAACCGTCGTGTGTCGGTCTTGGGCCGTCTAGGGCCCACTCGACGGCCGTCCTGGAGGCCAGCGAGGAAGCCCCGGGGCGATTCGGGGCCATCTTGGGGGCATCTGTGCGGCGGCCTTCTGGGGGGTTCAACGGCGCAGCTCACAGAGAGCACGAAAACACATCAGGCTGGGCCAGCAGGGCCGCCCGATGCCCGCGGGGGCCAGTGGACCCGCGGGGACCCCCGGGGAGGAGACGCCTTTCCCTTCGGAGCGCGGCGGCGATGTGCGCCGTCCTTGGCAGCCAGGCACCGCGAGCCCCGTGGCCTCCACGCCCCTGGCCGTGGCCGGGGGCGCACTGCCGGCTGCGCGCGCAGCACCAGCCGGCGCCGCAGCCGCGGGCTTCTTCGGCCCCGCTGCGCGGGGTGCCCAGCACCGGCCGAGAGCCACGCGGCTCTCCTCGCTCGGCCGTGCGCGGCCTCGGGCCCGGCGCCGCGCCTTGCCGGGTGCGCCGCGGGCGCCGCAGCCGCGAGCGCCCGGCGCTGGCCGATAGGCGCCCAGCTCTCCTCGGGAGGCGCGGCCCTGGCCCCCGGTTCGGGTCGGGCGAAAGGGGGGGTTCGGGAAAGGGGGGGTTACGAAATCTGCTGCATGTAGCTGGTTTCGGCCCCACCGAGGGGCCCATTCCTCGATACATAGCCGCCTCCGGCGCCGGGAGGCGCCGGGAAAATCAGCTACGTGAGCTGATTCTCAAACCCACCCTTTGCTATCCCCCCCTTTCGCCCGGCCCGAACGGTGGGGGCGCCGGCGCGGCCGCGGCCGGCGCCCAAAGCAGGGGGGTGGCTGCGGCCCCCGTCTGCGGGCGTGGCCGTTGGGCTGCCTCTTCCGGCGGCGGGCGCGGCTGCGGGGGTGTGTCCTGGGCAGCTTCAGCATCCTCGTCCCCTCAGGAGGGGGAAAAACACACAGAGACACAATTCATCGTCGATCCCCCAGAAGATATGGGAAAATATTGGAAGATATGGGGAAATATGGGGAATCCTTTTTATTTGTGTGTATTTATTTATTTGTTTGTCCTGGGGCCCCTTCATCCTCCTAAGCGGACGCGCCTCACTCCCGCAGCCGTGGTCTCGCCGGTCTCTTCCTTCGCCATGGGGGCGGCAGGGCCGGCGAGCTCTGGCGGACTGGGGAGGCGCGGGCAGTACTCGGTCGCCCTTCCCCCCTCCTGGCCCCGCCACGGCGCGAGCAGTGGCCGTCCCGCTCCTCCGCCCCTGGGGCCCGCCCCTGGGGCCCGCCCCGAGGTCTGATCCCGTTCTCCCCTGGTGCGGCTTGCGCCCTTGGCGGCGCGCCTCGGGCGGGCCCCGCGGCCAAGCTGAGCTTCGGAACGCAGCAGGAAGCGGGAAGCAGGGAGAGGGGGAGAAGGAGAAGTGGGGAGAGCGTCGTGCCAACGGTTCTCGCCAACGCCAGAGCGTTGGACGGAATGGCAAGTCGAAGAGACGTGCCTGAGATTGCCGGGGCGCGCCATGGTGCGAACCGCTCGGACGGGCAACCTCAGCGCTACCCGCACGCGCGGAGTTCGCAAGCCCGAGCGTCACGAGACGGAGAACGAGGGAGGAGGCACGTGGGGAAGCGCACGGAGAACGAATGTGACACTGATCGCACGTCGGGAGCGTGCACTCGCCAACTGAAGTTCACTGCTGGGCACACCGCAGGCGGAACGGGGCAGGGGGTGCCGGGGGGGCGAGCCCGAGCACTGTGCCTGGGGATCGGCCCGTTGCGGCCCTCGACAAGCCACGCCCGACACGCCACACGCTCTGTAAGCCTTGCTGTTCAAGCTGGGCTGCGCAAGGTGTGTGGTGCAAGCCATGTGGCGTAACCTGTGTGGCGCCCCCCGTGCGTCGGGAACCACGGGCGACCCCCCCCCCCGGGCCACGTGATCGTGTGAACCTTGTGACCGTGTGGGGCCTATATGCGCCCCCCCCGTAGAGACCCATCGTTGCTCCGAGCCCCGAGGGCCCCCCTGCAGCCTCCCGTCGCGGCGGATCCTGGGGTCCGTGGGCCCCACGAGCAGCACGGGTATGCACAGTGGCCCGTGCGCTGTGCGAGCACGAGGGGCCCCACGGGCCTTACGAGCCCTCGTGGCCGTAGGGGCCCTCGGAGCCTGGCGGTCTCCATCGGCATGCTGGGCTTGCATTCCCTGTTGGCCCGCTGAGCCTTGTGAGCCCCGTGGTCCGCCTGAGCGATGTCGATATGCAGGAGGGGAGAAACACACAGACACAATTAGTCGTCGATTCCCAGAAAATATGCGAAAATATGGGAAGTGAGGGGGAAGACAGAAACCCAGATTATTTATTTGTGTGTCCCAGGGCCCCTTCAAACAGATGTTCCCAGAACGTTCTCTGGAGCTCTCTGGAGCTGTCACGGCGCCCCCCCCCCCGCCCCCCTCGGAGAGCCCCGAGCTGCCCCAGCAGGGCTTGCAGAGACGCCTCCAAGGAGCCTCTCAGGAGCCTCTCCCGGGCTTCCAGGCAGCCTTCGAGGAGCATCGCACACGCATCACATAGCCGCAGAGTCCTGCATGCAGTCTGACGACAACTACCAGGAAGCAGCCCACAAGCCGCGGAATCGCCCCAGCCTGCCTGGAAACCATAACTTAACCAGGGGTAGGGGCAGGAAGGGTACCCCCCCGAATGGGAAGACGTGGGTTTGGGTGAGGAAACGCTCTAGACCATCTCCGTCCAAATGGATGGTGGGATTGGCCACAGGGGGCGCGCAGCGGCATGGCTTTGTTAAAACATTATACCTACGGGATCGAACGCGGTTCCTGTGATCATTTGTTTTGATAAGACCTGTTGATGATGCCATTGGTTGCAGAAGAACTTGGTACACCGAATTTCGAGAGCATGACACATTAGATAGTGCTTTTTGGCTTGCTCTGTGTGTCCTTCTCGCGTTATTTCTCGAGCCGCCAAAAGGTTGCAGACGATGGAACTTCTGCTGGTGCCACCGCTGGTGCCGACGACGGCACCAAGGCAGCTGGGAACGGTGAGGAGGACGAGGACGACGACGATGACGACGGTGATCTCATGGAGATGCCCGAGGGTGGCTTTGCGCTAGTCCAATGGTGCTTGTCCCTTCCGATCTATGTGCCCCTGTATTACCTCACGCCGCAGCCCACAAGCGAGAACTGGACGTTTCCAATTCCGAAGTTTTTGTTCTGCTTCGTGATCTCGCTCCTGTGGATCGCAAGCTTCGCCTTCCTGCTTGTGTGGTGGGTCGAGATTCTGGGTGAGGTCATCGGCGTGCCCGATATCATAATGGGCTTCACCATTCTTGCTGCAGGCACGTCTATCCCTGACGCCGTGTCGTCCATGGCGGTGGCAAGGAGCCTGGTTTGGGATGCAGGGGAGATCATTTCGAGGGGGAGCACGAGTTGGCGGTTTTCGATTCTTTGAGCGCCAGATGGTGTGGTGTTCTGTGCGGTGGCTGGAGGTTTACCATGTCCGTGCTTGTGGGGACTAGTGCCCACATGCAATAGCACATATTGGGGGCTGTAAGAGGAAGGAGGACAGGGTAGGAGAAACGGGGAGTGGGGCGAGGATGCAAAGGATGTGGGACGGAGCTGATGATGGTGTTCACGATGACAATAAAGATGACGATTCTGATTATGATGATGGTGATGATGATGCTGATGATGATGACGATAACGATAAGGATGATTATGCTGATGATCATGATGATGCTGCAGAAAATGATAATCATGATGCTGATGCTGCTGCTGCTGCTGATGATGATGATGATGATGTTGATGTTGTTGTTGATGGTGAGGATGACGATTAATATGCAGCAGCAGGTGATGATGATGCTGATGATGATGAGGATGATGATGAATGTGATGCTGATAATGATAATGTTGATGATGATGTTGATAACGGTGATGATGATGTTGTTGATGATGATGTTGATGATGCTGATGATGATGATGCTCATGATGATGATGATGATGATGATGATGATGATGATGATGATGATGATGATGATGATGATGATGATGATGATGATGATGATGATGATGATGATGATGATGATGATGATGATGATGATGATGATGACGATGATGATGATGATGGTGGTGGGTGGTGGTGATGAGATGATGGTGATGATGATAGTGATGATGATGATGATGATGCTGATGATGAATGATGATGATGATGTGATGCTGATGATGACCGATTATGATGATGATGATGCGGATGATGAGGATATGAGGATGTGATTGATGATGATGATGATGAATGATTGATGATGATGATGCTGATGCTGCTGATGATGATGATGATGATGATGACAAGGATGATGATGACTGATGATGATGATGGATGATGATGATGATGATGATGGATGATGAATGATGAATGATGATGATGAATGATGATGAGATGATGATGATGATGATGATGATGATGATGGTGGTGTGGTGGTGGTGGAGGTGGTGGTGGTGGTGATGATGATGCTGTGCTGCTGATGATGATGATATGATGATGATGATGATGATGGTGGTGGTGGTGGTGGTGATGAGTGAGGATGAGGATGAGGATGAGGATGAGGATGAGGATGAGGATGAGGATGAGGATGATGAGGATGAGGATGAGATGAGGATGATGATGATGATGATGATGATGATGATGATGATGATGATGATGATGATGATGATGATGATGATGATGATGATGATGATGATGATGATGATGATGATGATGATGATGATGATGATGATGATGATGATGATGATGATGATGACGATGATGATGATCAAGATGGTCTTTTCTTTCGAATTTAAATGCCTTTAGAAGGGGGGAGGGGCCGAATGCTTGCATTCCGTAGCCTTCGGCTCTCGAGCTGAGTCCGCGGCCGGGCCGCGGTGCATGGCTTGGCTGGGCCTCCCGGAGGGCTTGCTGAAGGTCCTGGATCGGTGGGGTGTGGAGGCGCTGCAGGCCTGGGTGACTCGATGCCCCGCGACCAAGATCCCGCCTTGCCCCGCGTGCCCGGCCTGCCCGCCTTGCCATGGCGCGACCGTGGGCGCGACCGTGGGCGCGACCGCGGGCGCGGTCACCCTGGCTTGCGCGGCCGCGGGCCTGGCGGGTGCCTCTTTCGGAGCGCTGGCTGCGATCCTGGTGCTGCGCCTCTGGGGGCCGCTCCGCTTCACGGCTGAGGCGCAGAGGCGACAGCTGCCACTGTTTCGCGCGCGGAGGCGCCGAGCGGCCCTCCTCCGCGTCTGGCACTGTCTGGCACTGGTGATGGCGGAGGCCTGGGCGTGGGTCTTGTACAACGTGGGCGGCGCGCCGCTCTTCCACCAGAGGAGGGTGGTGGGTCAACTGGCGCCCACGGATGACGTGGTCATCGTGGCCCCCGACGACATGGTGTATGCCGAGCGCCTCCTGGCGGCGGAACCTGATCGCGTCGGTGCGCTTTGCTGCTGGTCGCTGGCCGCCGCCGCCAGGCATCGCCCCGGACGCCACGTGCAGGTTCGTGCGGGACACGTCGGGTGCCCGCGACGCCGCTTGGCTGGCCGCTGCGAGGGCCGAGGCGGACGCCGAGTTCGGCCGCCGTCACCCAGGAGTGCCCGCCCCGCGTGGGGGCACGCTCATCCCCATGAGCGGCGGGCTGCTGCCAGGGGCGGGGCCTCCTGCTGCCGTGGGCGGCGCGCTGGTGGGCGCCGCCGCGGCCCCTGGGGCCGCTGCTGCCGCGCCGGGCGCCGCGTGTCCCGCGCCCGCCGCGGGCGCCGCCGCTGGGCCTCCAACGCCCACCGCGTTGCCGCCCGCTCTGCTGGCCGCCCTCGCTGCAGGCGTGCCCGCGGCTGCGGGAGCTCCGCCGGCTGTGGGAGCGCCGCCTGGGCCGGGGTGGAGGGACGATGGCGGCCCCCCGTTGGGGGCCAACGGTGAGGCGCCCGCGGGCTGGGCCTGGGTGCTCGCAGAGGACGTCGCTTCCTTCCCATTCGGCTCGGCGGTGCAGGTCGGGCCGATCACGGGCATCGTGCTGGCCGCTCGGGCTGGATGGCGCGGGATCGTCACGTTGGGAGGGGGGATCTCGGCGGTGGCCCTCGTCCTCGAAGACTTGCGTCGGGCTGGCTTCTTCGCGAAGTGGCGGCGGGGGCGGGCCCTCGCACCCTGGCGCGCGCTCCTGGCAGCGGGGGCCCGCGCAGCTGGCCCTCCGTGACTGAGGTCGCGAAGGGGGTGCCCGACCCGTCGTTCAGTCTCGCGCCGCGCTCGGCGACTCGGTGCGTGGTCTGGTTGTTGCGCGAGGGCGGGCCGACCCAGCGCCGCGAGGTCTGGGGGGCTCGCAAGCGACCCGGCACATCAGATTACGGCGTCGCCGAGCACGGCGCCGTGAGCACGGTGTTCGAGGACCTGATCAACGTGGCGAACCCGGTCTGGGGGGAGCGCCTGGCCAGGAATATGCAGGTCATCGATCGCGTCTGGGGGGAGGAGCAGAGGGGGCAGGACTCGACCCAGCAGAAGCTGCCGCAGGAGAAGGTCAACGCTTTCATGGGTGGTACGGGTCCTTTCAGCCGGCCAAGCAGCATGGTGTGCCTCGCGCTGCAGGACGTGGTCGGCACAGGGCTCGAGCGCGTCAGTCAGCTCAAGACGGACGCCCGCAAGCTGCGGAGGGGGTCGAAGGCGGCCACCTCCAGGGCCAAGGCTGGAGGCGCGAAGTCATGATGCCATTGTGCCTGTGGGGGCCTCCCGGCCCAGCCCCCCGGGCGCCGCGGGAACTGGGCCATCTTCGGTGGAGACCTGTGCCGCTGAGGATGTGTGTATCAGGTGCGGTGGGGAGGCCTTCGGATTGGCGTTTGGCTCCAGTGGGGCGCTGTCGCCAGTCTGGCCGCCGCGCAGGTGCCTCGCCCCGCTGGCGGCGCGGCCTCTGGCAGAGGCGAGGCAGCCTCCGCCTCGGAGGCGCGCTGCGGGCCGCGCGGCTCGGGGGCGGGCCATGCCGCCGGCCCCGGGCCGCCAGGCGACCAGGCGCGGCCCGCGGGCGAAGGCGGCGGAGGCGGCGGCCAGGCGAGCTGGGAGGGCAGCGGCGCGGGCGCCCGAGGCGGCAGCCCTGCGGGCCTCTGCGGGCCAAGTGCCGAGGGCTCTCTCGGTGCCCGAGGCCGCGAGGGCCAAGTGCCTGAGCCTGTCGGGCGAGTTCTCGGGCCGGCTGCCGACGGCGACCATGCCGCTGAGGATCGAGATAATAGACGACCTGCTGGCGCAGTGGATGGACCGGTAATGCGCCGAGGGCTGGAAGCCCGTGCGGGGTGCCTACATGCTGGCGGCGCTGAAGTTCGTGATGCCGCAGTTCTCGCGCGTGGGGCTCGGGCTGCCCCGGGCGCTGCAGGCCCCGCAGGGTTGGTGGAGGCGGGTGCCCGCCCGCGCCGGGCTCCCGCTGCCGTGGGCGATCGTGGCCCTCGTCGCGACGAGGCTGGTCGACATCGGCCAGCTGCGGACCGCGCTCTACGCGCTGGTGACCTTCCCGGGCTGCCCGCGGCCGCCCGAGGCCCTCGGGGCGCCGGGGCCGCGCCCGACCCTTCGGCGACTGGAGGGTCGCTGGGGCTCCACCCCCGCGAGTTGGGAATGCCGAGCAAGACGCAGGTCTACGACGAGGTGATCCCGATCGACGTGTCGTTCTACGCCTTCCTGCCAGCAGCCTTCCGCTGGCGGGCGGCGTCGATTCGCCCAAGGGCGCCGCTGGGCCCGTTCGCCCTCGTGGAGGCCAGCGCCCTGTTCAGGCGGGCGGCGGAGGGCGTCGGCGTCGCGGCGCTGACGCCACAGCTGCGCCAGCTCAGGCACTCGGGGCCGTCGGAGGAGCTGGCCATGAACCTGCGGACTCTGGCCACCGCCCAGCTGCGCGGCCGCCGGAGGACCGACGTGTCGGTTGCCCGGTGCCTAGAGCCCAGGCGCGTCGACGAGCAGTTGCAGAGTCTGGCGCCAGCCGTTCAGCGCGCGGCCCTGCTGGCCCCCGCTCGGCTGGCCTCGCTCCTCAGCTCGTGTTGAGGGAGCTACTAGGGCTGCGCGGCAGGCGCTTCCTGGCGCCGCCCGTCTTCGTGGAGGCGTTCTCGGGCGCGGGCGTGCTGGCGGCCGTCCTGCGCAAGGAGGACCCCCTCGTCATCGAGTGGGGCATCGCCTGGTGGCCCGACTGGGATCTCCCGATCCCCGGGGTGGCGCGGCTGTTGCGGGGCTGGCTGGGCGCCGGTCTCCTGCGGTGCTTGCGCTTCGGCGTGCCGTGCCAGACGTGGGCCAGGATCGGAGGCGCCGGTCCACTCCGCGCGCCGGGCGAGAGCGGCTTTTGGCCCGGCAGGCTGAGGTCGGACGACGAGATTTGGGGCCTCACGGCAGTGGCGCACCCCGAAGACAGAGCTCGGATCGATCTGGCAAGCAGGCTCGAGAGAATCTTTGAAAGTCTTTAGTCTAGCTGTAGACGCATTCAAAGTCCTTTTCGCTATTGAGAACTCCGCAGTGTCGAGGCTGTGGATCTTCTCTTGCTTTCGGCGGCTTTGTGAGCAGGCGCGTGTCTTTTGGGCTGTCACTCATTTCTGTCAAGACGGGACGCCCTAGAAGACGCCCGCTGGTCTCCTGAGATTCCGCGTGGATGTAGAAGCGTTTGCTCGCCAGTGTTCTGGCTTGCGCATTTGTTTTAGCAGGGCTTGGCGAGCCTCATCATATTTTCGAAGGTAGAGCTCCGGGAAGGCCTCCGTGGACTCCTGTGGCGCAGCCTTGCTCAATGCGTTTCGCCTCGAGATGGGCGCGAGCGCTCATCGGCGCCCGTCTGCAGTCCAGTGCCCTGTCCCTGACGTGCGCGTGGCTCGGCCGCTGACAAGAGAGGAAAAGCCCTCCGGTAGCTTCGGGATGTTTTGGCCGCGGGTCCCCGCGTCAGAATGTAATGCGGCTATTGAATCGTTTCTGTCCGTGGCCCCAGTGTCGCACGCGGTGAATGCTTTCCGACACTGGCCTCGGAGAAACCATCGTGTGGGCATGGTTTTTTCTTTCGAAGTTGATGCCTTCAGAGGGGGGGAGAGGCCGAATGCTTGCATTCCGTTGCCTTCGGCTCTCGAGCTCCCACCCTCCTGCCCTGTCTCTGGCTGCGCTGCTTCGCCGTGGCCGTGGGCCCCGCGTCAAAGTGTAAGTCGGCTATTGAATCGTCTCTGCCCGTGGCCCTAGTGTCGCACACGGTGCTGCCTTTCGCGTTCGAATGCATTCCGACACGGGCCCCGGAGAATTCATCGTTTGGGCATGGTGATGCTGATGCTGTTGACGCTGCTGCTGAGAATTAGGATGATGATGATGATGATGATGATGATGATGATGATGATGATGATGATGATGATGATGATGATGATGATGATGATGATGATGATGATGATGATGATGAGGATGAGGATGATGATGATGATGATGATGATGATGATGATGATGATGATGATGATGATGATGATGATGATGATGATGATGACCATGCTGCCATTGTTGATGGTTCGGATGGCGATAATGACGATGACGATGTTGATGACGCTGATATGTATGATGGTGATGATGCCGCTGACGATGATAATTATGCTGGTGCTGCTGATGCTGATGCTGAGGGTGCTGCTGTTGATGATGATGCTGCTGCTGATGCTGATGCGGTTGGTGAGAAGGAAGGTGTGTGTGTGTGTGTGTGTGTGTGTGTGTGTGTGTGTGTGTGTGTGTGTGTGTGTGGGGGGCAAGGGGAGCAAGAGGAACACATGACGAAGCGGAACAATAATGACATAAAGGGCATGGGGGAAGGGAACTCAAGCGTTTAGGAAGCGTTTGACGTCTTCTGGAAGCGTTTCAATGATCATGCTACCTTTACTTATGCAGGGGAGTGACCTTTCCAATGCCCTTGAACATGCAACGCGTCAAACTCAATAAAAACCAACGCGCCGAGCATGACATGCAGTCCTGGACATCGCTGGGGGAGGGTAGTGCTCGGTGGTGGTCAGCTGTTTGGACACAAGCGGAAACGATCATTGTTCGAGGGGCCCGCCGAACAAGTTGTTGAAGAGGAGGGGGCCCTGCACGATTGCTTGTGCGACACCTAGTTTTCCCAAAGGGGTCTGATCTGAAGGGTTCCCTGCGCCACACAGTTGCGCAGCGGCCGGTGTCCACAAACAGACGGGGTGGGAGGGGAAGGCCGTTGCCCAGGCCACTGCCCCAAGGCCCGAGAGCTCGTCGCTCGGTTCCCAGATTGCTGGGCTCCTCTAGATGCCCCACAGAGGGAGCCGAAGGAGGAGAACGAGGTGCTTCCTCCTTCCCTGCAGGCCCGGGGCCCCCCAGCAGGTCGGTAGTCCAAGGCCGGGTTTCCTGTCCCTGACCTCCAGCGTCCTTTTTTTGGGGGGAACTCCTGGCGACGTTTTTTGGGGATTTCCTGTCTCTGATCTCTAACGTCGTATTTCTTTCGCGACGTGGGCCTTCGGATGTCCGGAGACATTGCCGGGGGCTGGCTTGCCATCCCGAGCAATGTTGTTGACAGTCCCCAGGCCCAGTGAGGGCGCCTTGGGAGGCCGGAGATTGCCAAAAGCCTTCCGTCGTGGTTTTTGCCACGAGGCGAGGAGGTCCGGGTCTTGGGGCCTCTCGGGGGCCTCTTGTGCAGAGGACATCCATGCCAAGAGACACCCTGCTTGCCTCCAGGGTGCCCTGGGTTTCTCGGGTTTCGATGGCTTTGCTACGGAAAGCGTAACCTCCCCAGACCAGAAATCAACGGACATCCTGGGGTCTCAGGGTTTGGTTTCTCGTGGAAGGCTTCTTGTTGTCGAACTCCTACTGCCTGCGTAGTAAGGATGAGCGACTTTCCAAGATTTCCCTTGCATCCTTGCCCCTTCGGCCCCATCCTTAGCGACTTTCCAACCTCGGTCGGAAATCGTCAACATGGCCCTCCAAGGCCCTTGCAGCCTTATTACCGCGCTCCCTTATTATACGGGAAGGATGGGCATCTTGCCAAGGTTACCCTTGCATCCTTCCCGTGGGGTCCATCCTTGGCCGCGTTCGTTGGCCGCGCCCCGCTCGCAGGGTTTCGACATGGCCTTCCAAGGCCCTTCTTGCGTCCTTATTGCACGGATTGACTGTAGAAGGAGGACGGGGAGGACGGGGATGCAGGTCATGGCTCCAGATGTAGTCCTGGGCTGGACATGGTGCCAGATCCATCCAAACCACCCTAGGAACGGCGAGGGCGACATGGCCGTGTCGTCTTCCATTGGCTCGAACATATTCGACATCTTGATCGGTCTTCCTGTGCCATGGATTATCAAGACTGGCATTATAGAGGGCGACGGCTACAAGGTTCAGGTGAAATCGCCATACCTAGTTTTCTATATCCTCTTGTTGCTTGCGATGGTCTTTGCGAGCATTATATCGATACACGTGAACGGATGGAAGCTCAACAAGACCTTGGGAGTTGCCATGGTTGCACTTTACTGCGTCTTCCTTACCATCGCTATCGTTGTAGAGTACGCGGAACTGGAGTTTTTGGAGATTTAGGCAGACGTGCCTCGCTTTTCCAGCTGCCATGGGGGAAGACGGGCCTCTCGAAGCAAGCAGTATCACGATGTACCGTTCACAAGCAAACTTCAGGGGTATTGCTCCGACCTCACACTGAGAACCAGTAGTAATAGGAGGAATGCTGGGAGGGACAGCGAGGGATAGGTAGAGGGGGGAGGCAGGGAGGCACAGAGAATAGGGTGCATGGAAACAGGACGATGGATGATGACGACGATGATGATGATGACGATGATGATGATGCTTATTATGGTGATGATGATGATGATGATGATGATGATGAGGATGATGATGATGATGATGATGATGATGATGATGATGATGATGATGCTGATGCTGATGCTGATGCTGATGATGATGATGCTGAGGAGGATGCTGATGATGCTGCTGTTGTTGTCGTTGTTGATGATGATGATTCTGATGATGATGACAACGATGATGATGCTGATGCTGGTGTTGACGCTGCTGATGATGATTATGATGATGATACTGCTGTTGAAGATGATGACGATGATGATGATGCTGATGATGATGATGCTGATGATGATGCCGCTGATGATGATTATGATGATGATGACGATGCTGATGATGATGATGATGACGATGATGATGATGATGATGATGATGATGATGACGACGATGCTGATGATGATGATGATGATGATGCTGATGCTGCTGATGATGATGATGATGATGATGATGATGATGACGATGATGATGATGATGATGATGATGATGATGATGATGATGCTGCTGCTGCTGATGATGATGATGATGATGATGATGATGATGATGATGATGATGATGATGATGATGATGATGATGATGATGATGATGATGATGATGATGATGATGATGATGAGATGATGATGATGATGATGATGATGATGATGATGATGATGATGATGATGATGATGATGATGATGATGATGATGATGATGATGATGATGATGATGATGATGATGATGATGATGATAGGGCAATCTATTTTCCAACCATCCTGTGGTGTTGGGTCCTCGTTTTGACACGAGAGCGCCCTGCGTCACTCCTTCCTCCCTCCCCCCCTCCCTCCCTTCTCCCATCCCTGCCTCTGCCGTCTGCATGCCTGTTTCGGCAAACTCCCACACGTTTCGGGGCCCCATAGGGAGCTCCTCCGAAGGCCCCAGCGGCAGCGTCCACTTGGCGTACCCACACCCAATTCGGCAGACCCCTCACAGGTTTCGTGGCCTCACAGGGAGCTTCACCGAAGGCCCCAGCGGCAGCGTCCGCATGTCGCACCCGCCCTCAATCGGGCAGACCGCTCACAATTTTTCGTTGGCCCCGTAAGGAGCTTCACCGAAGGCGGCCCAGCGGCAGCATCCGCATCCCTTCACAGGTTTCGTGGCCCCGTAGGGAGTTCCACCGAAGGCCACAGCGGCAGTGTCCGCAATGCATACTCGCAGCCGAGTCGGCAGACTCCTCGCACGTTTCGTGGCCCCATACGGAGCTTCACCGAAGGCACCAGCGGCAGCGTCCGCATGGCGTACCCGCACCCAATTCGGCACACCTCTCAGAATTTTTCGTGGCCCCACATATAAGCTCCACCAAAGGCCCCAGCGGTAGCGTCCGCATGGCGTACACGCACCCAAGTGGGCAGACCCCTCACACGGTTCGTGGTCCCGTAGGGCGCTCCACCGAAGGCTCCAGCTTCAGCGTCAGCATGGCACACCCGCAGCTAATCCAGCAGACCCCTCAAACGTTTCGTGGGCCCATACGGAGCTCCACCGAAGGCCCCAGTGGCAGCTTCCGCATGGCCCAATTCGGCACACCCCTCACGCGGTTCGTGGCCCCGTAGGGAGCTCCGCCGAAGGCCCAGCGGCAGCGTCCGCAGGCGCACCCACACCCGAGTCGGCAGACCTCTCGCACGTTTCGTGGCTCCATACGGATCTCCACCGAAGGCCCCAGCGGCAGCGTCCGCATGGCGTACCCTCACCCATTTCGGCAGACCTCTCACACGTTTCGTGGCCCCACAGGGAGCTCCACTGAATGTCCCTGCGGCAGCGTCCGCATGGCGTACCCGCGCTGAGTTCGGCACCCCCCTCACAATTCTTGGCGGCCCCGTGAGGAGCTCTGCCGGAGGCCCCAGCGGCAGCGTCCGCATGGCGTACACGCACCCAATTCGGCAGACCCTTCACGCGGTTCGTGGACCCGTAGGGAGTTTCACCGAAGGCCCCAGCGGCAGCGTCCGCATGGCGTATCCACACCCAATTTGGTAGACCCTCACACGCTTCGTGGCACCATAGGGAGCTCCACCGAAGGCCCCAGCGGCTGAAGGCCTTCACGTGCACGCGATATACGCAGCTGCATATAGTTCGAGTTCGGTCCCTTGCACGGAAATTTGTATGAGGGTTCATGTTGTTGTGCCGTTCATGTGTTTCTGAGAGTTCACATGTCTAGACGCTATGCATTGTGGTGCAATATGTGTTGTTCAATCTATGTTCTGGTGCAATCTATGTTGTGCAACATATGCGGTGCAATATAGGTTGAGCAATTTAGCGGCGACGGGGCGGTGACAGCGAGCACGGAGCCGCCAGACTGGCGGCCAGGTGCAGGCGACGGGCGGCGACGAGGCGGCGACGGGGCGGTGACGGCGAGCACGGAGCCGCCAGACCGGCAGCTGGGCCTGCACGGCGGGCGGCGACGAAGCGGCGACGGGGCGGCGACGCCGAGCACGGAGCTGCCAGACCGGCAGCCAGGCCCAGCTCTGTCGAACACAACAAGAGCCCCGAAATGTAAGCATTGTTCGGGGAAACTCGTTTGAACTTCGTATTTTTGTTGGGCCGTCACTCGCATTTTTCGGATCCCCTCTCCGCGGGCAGGCAGGGTGGCAGGCACGGGGGACCGCGAGGGAGGCGCGCCTGGGAGTGTGGAGAGAGGCGTGGGCAGGTGGAGGAGCTATGTCGGTGGCTGGGTGGGTGAGTGTGCAAGCAGGGGAGGAAAAGGAGGAGGAGGAGGAGGAGGAGGAGGAGGAGGAGGAGGAGGAGGAGGGGTACGAGGAGGATGAGGAGGAGGAGGAGGAGGAGGAGGAGGAGGAGGAGGAGGAGGAGGAGGAGGAGGACCACTGTAAACCCAAGAGTCATCAACGATGTTGGAGTAAACCCTCCCTCCAAGCTCCCTCGTCATAGACCCCTACAACTGTTCATTTCCATTGATGGAACTGCCTCGTTGGAAGACTCCCGTTTGAAGGCCCTGAAGCATGCCAAGACATTGATTCCAACGCCACGGATCAACCTGACTGTTGCGTCTTGTCGATCCGGAATCGTGCCAGAACGCAATTCCCAGGATTTTAACACAGATAATCAACGTAATTGTTGCAACCGCATAATCCTGAATCCTTCCAAAACACCATGTCTGGTACGTTGATGAATGGGAAGCCAGGAAACTTTTACAAACTGTTAAAACGAAACTGCGCAGCGCTAAGGCGAGAGCCACATATTGAAAACCACCCGCCCTGAATCCGTGAAGCTCTTGCGAATTTTTAGACGAATGTGCGCCGCGCTCAGGCGGTAGCCACATTTTGAAAGCCACCCGCCCTCAACTTGTAAAACTCTTGCATATTTTTAAGACAAGTGCGCGCCGCGCTAAGGCGAGAGCCACATTTTGAAAACCACCCGTCCTCGATTTGCAAAAACTCTTGCACATTTTTATAACGAATGTGCGCCGCGCTCAGGCGAGAGCCACATTTTGAAAACCACCCGCCCTCAATTCGTAAAATTCTTGCAAATTTTTAAGACAAGTGCGCGCCGCGCTAAGGCGAGAGCCACATTTTGAAAACCACCCGCCCTCAATCCGTGAAAGTCTTGTAAATTTTTGAATCGAGTTGTGCGGCGCCAAGGCGAGAGCCACACTTCGAAAACACCCGCCGTCCATCTGTGGAGCTGTTGTCAATTCTTTACGCTTCGCGTATCCCCACCAGCCCATCTCAAAACAGCAACTCTTGCGAAGCATGCCGACAGTCGTGTTTTTCAGGCGTGTTTCCGCCTGCCCCCGCATATCTCCCCTGTTCCTCCTTCCTCCCGCCTCCGTGTACATCCTCCTTGTGGTGGGAGCGGGAGAAGGACGAGGCGGAGGAGGAGGGAGAGAAAGCGCTCCTCGTGGTTTGAGTCGTTCGGGTTTCTCGTCCTGGTGTGAGTCGTTCGGGCCCTTCTTCCTGGTGTGAGTCGTTCGGGCTCTTCGTGGTGTGAGTCGTTCGGGCTCTTCGTCCTGGTGTGAGTCGTTCGGGCTTCTCGTGGTGTGAGTTGTTCGGGCCCCTCGTCCTGGTGTGAGTCGTTCGGGCCCCTCCTCCTGGTGTGACTCGTTCGGGCTCCTCGTGGTGTGAGTCGTTCGGGGCCCTCGTCGTGGTGTGAGTCGTTCGGGCTCCTCGTGGTGTGAGTCGTTCGGGCGCCTCGTCCTGGTGTGAGTCGTTCGGGCTGGTGTGAGTCGTTCGGGCTCTTCGTGGTGTGAGTCGTTCGGGCCCCTCGTCCTGGTGTGAGTCGTTCGGGCTCCTCGTGGCGTGAGGCGTTCGGGCACCTCGTCCCCTTTTGGGGCGTCTTGGGGGCCTCTTGGCGGCCCAGGGGCTTCTAGGGCAGGAGGAGTCTTGGGTGCCTTGGGGGAGCCTCTTCGGGCCTCCTGGGAGCCTCTTGGAGGCCGTTTGGGGCGTCTTGGGGGCCTCTTGGCGGCCCCAGGGGCTTCCAGGAGCGTCTTGGG